ATTTGTATATATATATATATATATATATATATATATATATATATATCATATACCATTTCGTCGTAACAATAAACAAGGATATTGCCTGAAAGATTTAGGATATACGATAAAATCATGCCATGAGGAAAGTGTATATGACTGTATTGTTCAGTGTATTGGATTTGTTTAACTCGGGTATATCGCAAAATATAGATCACAGTCGAGTGGTTTGGTAGGCAAGATACCAGACCAGTAAGACGGGCCCGATTCGGCCGGGACTCAAAAGGACAGCGAGTGCTCCGTATGGAAAGCCAATGTAAGACAAAGTTAGGCGAACCTGGATAATTGTGTACAAAATGCACATGGAAAAAAGTAAACATGACAAAGAGTGCATCATGATAAACACAGTCTTTTGGGCTGAAATGTGAGGACGTTCGTTTTCCGATGCTGAGGAAGCGCTGAGACGAGAGGGGAGTCCAAGGTGCCAAATGAAGGCCGGCAACACGATCACGCAGAAAACAAGGAGCTACGGGGAAGCAAAATAAGAGGGATGTATTAGTCCACAGATGACTAGTTAGTGTACAACCATACTGTTTCGCCCAATAAAACACGCTTCTTCCAATCCTCTGCCAGCAGCATAAGTATTCCCATTGAGAAAACGGGCATAACATGAAATGGAACGAAATCCAAAACGAACAGAAACAACCAACAACATTCGACGGATGAGACAAGTACGCACACACGCAAAAAAGACCCAAGAGGTTATTGAAAGGCGTACAAAACCCGACAAAGATTCTTAAAGAGGGAGAGGCAGCAGTAAAGTTCAGTATTCATGAAAGTTTTTGATAAAACTCAGGGGGTTGGTAAGTACCGAAATGACCAAGTCAGAAACGGTAACAAGCTAAGGTCGGGAAGCCAAAGCAACCACAATACCGAAATCCACCTCTTGCTAGTTTCCGGAAGAGAGAACTAGTTGTGATTTTGAATACACCCAAGCAATTTTGATAAAAAGCGCCTTTTGTATGGTTGGCGGTGATTCGGCGACTGCTTCAATGAGGCCCAACAGGGCGAACCTGATAGTGGAACAAGTGCATCAATTTGATAAGCAGTTTTCCATGTGTCATGATTTTTGCCTGCTTACCCTATATACTCGTATTGAATCTTTGAATGTACATTTCAGCTCATCCACGCTTGTTCTGAGACACGCTTGCCTACCCTCCATAGTCCGGACTCTCTTTTAACTAGTTCTCGCACATTAAACGTCTCACCATGCAGAAAGAATGCAACTGTGGGATAATTAATGTAATACCACCTATCAATGGGATGGTTGAAGTGTGAATCAGATCGGATAGTTATAAATTTCCTATCGTTTGGATTCAATATCTTTGTTATGCGAAAACTGTTAGTCATGGGAATGGAGGCATCTTGTGGCAGAGCAAGGTCATGGTACACGGCAATGGTTTACATCGGCGTTTCGCGTGACTTCCTAAATGATCAGCTGTTTTACACATTCCGGCTGACAACAGCGAGTATTTCTGCGCAACTGGTGCAGCTGTGAATGCTTAAACAAAGATCTATCATATGAAACTACGGCATCAGGAGTAGTGCGCAATTCTTAAGTTTATCAAGACAGAAGGCGAAATCGCCTTTGAAGCGCGAAAGGATTTGTAAAACCATATCAGTTATGCACCGAAAAACAGTTCCGTTTAGCTTCTCAGTTGTGGTATCAAGGGTAAATCCAACTCAAATTGAATATGGTGGATGATGAGGGACAGCCTCATGAGCGTCTCAACGGACTCAATTTGAATGACACTTTAGGCCGCTATTTCCAAAAAGGATTGTCTGACGAGACATAAATTGTATTAAATTATAAATCGTGGGGATTTGATTGAGCTGCGTCATACTGTGGGTATAGCTGAAAAATATTCGTCCAAACTGAGCTGTTAAGCATTGTAGGTTCCACACACTCACGGCATGTCTACCGAAAATGACTCGCAGTGAAGATGATCAGTAACCGATTCGTTCAGCTGTAACAGCCTGCTGATGCCTAGCTACCATGCCACCCGAAGGAAGCACAAGGGCTGGGATACTGCCAAGTTGCCCAAGCTTAGACAGGGGAAATCGAAAGGCAGAGGTTGGGTTCGAACCACGGGCCTTTCGGTCAGTAAATTCACGCAATAAACACTTGAGCAATCTCGCCCCTAGCTACTAGGCAATTAGTGGTGCACCAAGATATCTGAGTCGGATAGTATGCAAAGCTCCATAAAGTCATCCTGTTTGCCATTATCTGGCATTTCATCACAATCTCTGATAGGTCCATACGACTACTTACGCTGATCGGAAGACCATTCTTCCGCTCAAAGACCGGTCACCTCTCTCTAAAACAGAAAGTTTTATGTGACTTTTTTGAAGTCGTAGTTGTTTATATATCTGATTGACGCTCATTACCAAGGTATAGACTGAAGCAATACAACTATGAATAAGTTGGTTCAGCCAAAGAATATTACAAGGTTTATTGTTGTAATCACTGAGTAAAACAAGTACTGGCCCACATGTATAAGCAATTAACAGGACGTGCAGTGAAAAACTAAATGAAACTATCAAGAATGGTAGAATATTATCACATGACAAATTCCTTGGGTATTATTCCAGACGTAGATGTATTACCAAAACTAGAGTCTGGGGTAGGAAACGGCAGACCGCTAGTGTTGGCACGGGATTAGATAGGCAATGTGCCAGGAAAGCATTACTTAGCGTTCGGAAGCTACACCTGATACACTCTCTCCTGAACATTGAGGACAGCGATTGAAAGCACTATGGTTTAAACCGATTCAAATTCACAAAATGCAGAACAGGATTGCGTCCTTTTAATGAATGAAAGACCAAAAATTATTTTGGAAAGTATAAACGGGAAACCAAGCTTTCCAAACCTAATACCACGGAACCGTTTATGTTATACTCTCTGCCGAGAAGAGCCAGTGTCCCCACAGTCAACAACATCCAGAGGGCCGAGTTGGAAATATGTCAGTCGGCAAATACATCTCCACCAATCTCACTGGTTCAGTTATCATCCCAAATAAAGTGCTTAGGTTGAGAAAAAGCTGTATTATTCGAGAAGAGTAGAATAGTTTGAATAAAGACCCGGATAGCACAATTCAAACAAAAAAGATAGACATGGAAATCATGTGAAAATGGCAAAGGGCCCTTGGGTGTTATTGGAGTCCACGATATGCGAGAGATCGCAAGTTCCAGTCATTTCTAGGGGTGCCGGTCTATTTGTTTGGATTACATGTACCCAAGTCCCTATCCCATGTTTCTACACTTGTAAGGACTTTAAGAGAAGCTGGGGTACCATTCGTCACCACGCTTATAGTGAGACCACGTGGCAGTCACGCAAATTCTTTTGTTGCATCTGCTATTGCGGCTGAATTCTAATTGCTTCCACACACGCCAGGAATCCGATCAGATGTCACCAAAAAGCTAGATACGGTTTACAGTTGAAAGAAACCCGCTAAAAGTCCAAAATACCCACACAAACCACATGTCACTTCACTTTTCTATTGCTGGGACACTTCGCTCATATGACAAAATTCTGACAAGTCAAAGAAGTGACACGTGAGCAGGAAATTGGGTGGGAATGGCTAGTCAGATAGGCAGATGATTCCACGATGCAACCTCACCTGAATTGACTCATACATGTAGGTAAGAGACTCTGCAATCAACGATCCGGCAACGTAAACACCGAAGCTGAAAACCACAGCAAAGTGTTCATCCACTAGATAACCCATAAAAATGGGACCTGAAAAAAGAAAGAGCGAAGAATTAGCTTGGTCTACGAACATAAAATGAGTTCTACACTGCACACAAATACTTTGAAGCGGCTTAACCCCGTGAAAACTGGCGTTCAGGATTGAAAATAAAGTAAACCATATGTGCTCAACCTTTGAACTCGATAGTACAATGCTTAGTAACAGCGAGGTATGGATGCAGCAACTCTAGTTTGTTTCCTAGGATAACATGCAGTTGCAGGCTCAAGCATATGTAAGCACCATTACCATTAACGACATCAATACACCACTAACGGATACTGGCATTTAACTGCCGTAAAATCAATGAGGCTTTGGTAAAAAGTTGAAAAAGGGAAAGGTGGGGAACTAGAATGGAGTCCTTAAATGAAAGCACAAAAATACGCTGCGCTGATCTTTGGGCGGCATTACAGTGAACATGTTTGAACATTATGCCGAATTAAGGTGCCATCAGCGGGATCAACCCAGTGCCTTGGCGGATCTCACGCGACATGAGCTCAGCACACAGCCACAGGTGAAATTTGGCTAGATGGCTCAGCTAGGAATTGACCGCAAGTGTGCCATTGGAATCGAATGCGCACCATGTCCTGGAGGGCTTTCAACCACTTGCAAGCAGAATCACGTAGGCCCCAGCCAGGAAGGCGCAACCGTCCTACAGCAACCAGCGTAATTGTGACTGATTTCATTCCAAGTTTCTGTGTCATGGCCTGTTCCCTCAAACCTTTCGACAACAATCGCTCGGAACAGAAAACAACACTTTCCTTGGTGGACGGTGGTTGGGTTCAATCTGCTGCTCTAACGATTCGGACTTGTTACCAAGTACCCCCAAACGCACCACCTATTCACGTACTCGCTGTAGCTAGCTAACTCTTGCTATACCACGGAGACAGCGGTGATCAAAAGATTGATGACTCCCAAGGTCCTCTGATCGGAGGGACCAGTTATCATGACCACAAAGCGAGACTGCTCTTACGGTTGCCTTGTACATACGACTTTCTAGATTCAGTGGAATTCGCCTCTGATGCCATAAATGATCGTCGCTCGCGCTTTGAGTATCCGCACCTCAACCCCACCCACTACAGTACAATCACGGTTTACGCAGCTGCCAAAATGCGTGAGCCGATCAACAAACTTAGGCTCTTCATTTGGAAGTTTCACAGGAGCCCAAGGGTATGAGAAGTCTTGAATACTTTAACAAGCCGAAACATGAGATCACTTCTGATATTGCGCGGGCAAATAAACGTCAAACAACAAAACGATGTCGCCTGCATAATCCAAGCCAACTAATACCTCTTCGAAAGTGAAACCAACACCTAGATCCATGGTCGTTTCAAGAATGCACTCTATGATAACATCAATGACAAAGTCGAAAAATGAGTGGTAAGGCCAGGACGAGGATGTGCTGAAACGGCTGGTTGAACACCCTAACCCGATTGGAGGTATGGAAATGCGGGGCACGAAGAATGTTTACGAAATTCAAGATCCCTTTCTGGCCAGGGACATTTAGAAGGGTGAATCTCTCCACAAAGCCGAAAGCTCCATTGAATTTGTGGGAAACCGAAAGTGTTGGTTGGCGGCACATAGGCTGCTGCTTGATACCCTCAAGCATGCGTTCCATATGTCGAAGACAGGTACCGCAATATTCAGGAAACCAGTTGCTATGTTATGACAGGCGTGAGAATCATACTTGTATGGTTGGAACAATTAGCTCAAATGCCTTTTTTGAAAAAAAAAACGGATATGAGAAACGATTGGCCCAAATTCTCTAGAATACGTTCGTGTTCTAAAATACCTATGAACAACTTGGTCACAGTGGAACCCAAAGATTTCCCTCCATCCGAGAGGGGAGGGTTGTTTGGCCCAGCAGCTCGATGGCCGAAAGAGATCAAAGTTTTATCAACTGATGAGAGATATAAACGAAAACCACGGCTCAAAATGAGCTGGTCGAACAAAAGAAATAGGCACAGGGGCAGAGGATCAACTCAAGTGTTGTTGAAAATATTCGGCACAGCGATCTGGACGCTGGTGTTTATTATATATTGGGTTTCCAGTACTGTCTTTGACGGACTCAATTACGGAGGGCCGTTTAGGTTCTGTTTTGCGGATTAGTTGGAACAACTTCCGTCCATTCCCAAATGCATCTCGTTTCCTAAAACTTCAGATTCCACCACGCATTTCTGCCCACACATAGGAAGTCTAAAATCTCGTCCAGTCAATTATCCAGCGGAAAAGTACTCCGAGTCCGAAGGCATAAATAGCTTCGGGTAATGGAGAGCATTCTTAGACGCAATGGCTGCTATGCACAAACAGAGGTCCCGGCGTCAGGTAGGACAGAACGAAAGTTAAAGGATAAAAATGAAGAAAGATGGGAGGTATCAGTAGTATCGTCCTGCTGGATGAAGTGAATAAAGCGACCCAACTGATGTCACCATGCGGTGGCCGACGTGGCATGAAGGTACATTTATTCGTGAAGTTCGTGGCCGTATATTGGCCGAGGTACTGCTAGGGCAGTCGGATACAGACAGCAGGACGGTCAGGATCTTTAGTCAATGGCGCTGGCTCAAAAGCCTGACCAAAAGGTGGCAATGGTAAGTGTGAGACTGTTTGAGTAGGCCAAATTTTGAGGATCAGATTACCACTTATTCCAAACCCAACCTGGAGGGTCAGGAGACTGTCCTTCAGACTTCTATCCATTGGCTAAACAGGTAAGGGGGATCTGCGGATGTTGAATGGGCATTTGCCAGTATGGCTAAACGCTACACAAACGGTCGCAGAACGCTGAAATCAAACCTCTCGCGCGTACGCGATGGTCTGCTTCACCCAATGTTTGAAGCTACACTGTTGCTGTAGGATAGCACGCAAGCCCGAATCGTGCGTCAAAGACTAGCGTTAGACTATCTCCATAACTCACCACCATAAGAGAAATTCAATTGAATTATTTGTACTTGTGCGGAAATGGTGAATAAGTAACGAGAATGCCCTCACACCGAAGTAGAAGTTGAGTGAAGAAAAGTTTAGGTCTGTTTTAATCATACGAAGAATGCATGGGGTGGCAGATGAAAGCGCAACCCAACCAAAGAATCTATTCAGGAGCTCAGCTATCTGATGAACCGGCTTGCTGACATGAAAAGATTTAGCTTTCAAGGCTGTGACAGAATACTCACATGGAGCTAATTTTCCTAGAGGTGGGAGGCGAAAAGCCTTCATCTAGAGAGCTGCATCAGTTTTTGCCACAGCACACCGTTCTTCGCTTAGTCAGTTACTTTGTCAGGCTGCACTGTTGACTACTTTCTCTTCACTCCCACAAAGTATATTCATATAAGGTCCTTAATA